TTTTTTTTTTTTTACTCTACCTTGCTTGAACTGGTCACAATGCCGGTATCATCTGTTGCAATGGCGCTCTCCTGGCGCAGCACTCTGGCAAGGTCAGAGGTCGCAGTATTCACTGGCGGCCAATGAGAAGAGGCTACAATCTCGTCCTCAATGTGCATGTAACGATACTGCTTGGACTTGCAGCACCATTTTCTGGCCACAGTGCGAACTTTTTCTCGGACTAAACCATCCAGGATAAAGGTCTGGACAAACAAATCAACGCATTTTAAATGGTGTGCTATGAGACAGTATAGGTAGTATCATATTGACTATACTCTGAATTTATATAACAAATAGATAATTACACGAGGGACAGTTAACCTCACTGAACCCTGACGTGTATGTGTGACATTTGTCTGAATCACCATATTTTCTGTAATACATCTACCTGTTTTTTAGCACTGAGAGATGTTTTTGAATAGGCATGTGGATACAATTTGGTAACTATGTTGAGAGTTTAAACAGTGTAATTACCTACCTCAAGGAATAATGACGCCAGGAAGTTGACGGCAGCCACACACACTATAATTATTCTGAACAGCATGTCTGGAAGGTCTGCAAGCTAGATAAAAACACAATCTTACTATGTTACAAATACTGTATATAATATAATTTAAGCAAACATGGTAAAGATTAATTAAAGTTAAAACTTTCGTATAATATGCCATCACTTTTGAATGGTAATTGTTCAACATATCCCTGACTTTAGGTGTATAGAAGCAATAAATACTTAGGTTGCAATTCCTTTGATTTTACAAATTCGATTGCCTCAGGTATGTCCTTATGTAATAATGTGAGAACTCAAATTGTATTAGTTGCGACAACTCAGATTGTGTTAGTTGTGACAGCTGAAAATGTGTTAGTTGTGCCTCTCACCTCCATGAGGTCAGTCAGGAACTGAGGTGGGTAGATGGTCAGCCACACGTTGATGATCGTCACAGCTATCACGTTGATGAGGAAAAACCCTGGAACAACCAAGAGTTTTAAATATACCATAAAATTGAATGTTTTAACAGAAGGGAGCTTTCATTTTTGAAATTAAACTGCGAATACTTTCTAATCGTAAAACCAATAAAGCATGAAAACTAAAAAAAAAACGTGCTTGAAAGCATTTTTTAATCCTAAACCTGACAATGAGGCTTACTTTATTCAGAAAGAACAGCTGCTACATTATGTTAATTCCAGACTCACAATGGTCACATTTTCATTAAATAAAGGCACTTGGATTCCAATCAGTCGTGGTACCAGACCCCAACGAATACCATACACTCACTGTTGCTGCCATCAGCCTCCTAAAGAGCGCTCCCTTATGGAAGACGACTGGCGGAGTAACTGACCCCTCACACCTCAACCAGCACAATGTCTATCTCAACTACCACAATACCATCTCAACTAACACAATGTCTATCTCAACTGACACAATGCTCATCTCAACTTATACAATGCACATCTCAACACACACTTACAGTTGGTGAACATGGACCTCCTGAAGGGCGCCCCCTTGTGGAAGACCACTGCCAGGGTGACATACTGGTAGCAGGAGATGAGAGTTATGGTGGCGTTCATGTGACTGGCATACTCATCGTCAGGATTGTCCACAAAGGAGACGAACCTGAAAAAACATTTATTTGTAACCGCTGGGTACGTCATTAGCCATATTTTAACATTTTGTATAAATGTACCATCTTTTCAGAAAAAAGTTTTTAATTTTGCAATTTTACATCACTAAAATTATACACATATCACTGGCAGATCCACAATTAAAGCCAGAAAGAAGATTAGAGATTAATTTGATTTTTTTCTCTTTTTTCATTTTTTTTATCTACGTCTTTCCAATCCAGCCCTGCAATTTATCTATGACTATCAATACACTTACCAAGGCATGGTCTTTACATAGAAGAAAAAGAACGTCTGTATGCCGGTCATCAGGATCATCTGGAAGACCAGTGACATCAGTGGCTGGGCAGTAAACAGACTGACCGTCACCTTGTCCTTGGTTAGGCTCTGGTAGGCCCTGGTGTAACTGACTAGACACAGGGAGGAAGAACACTTTATATTACGATACCAAGTTAACTGAAATGTCACAGTAATATACAAATTCCATTTTCAACAAACTATTTGCCATTTTATTCTCTAATAAGAACTAGTATGTGACAAAAAACAAAAAAGGCAATAAACCTAAATAAAAGAAATCCTTTAACTCTTGGGCTAAAATAAATAACACTGTATTTTGCAAATATACCTTCACCCGCTTCACCTTATCCTTTAAATATTCAATTTCCACCAAATTTAATGCAAATTTTAAGAGATATATCTTTTACGGAATCAAATAAAACCATAACATAACAACATATTTATCAGAGAAAGGTAAAGCAACCTGCAGTTGGTGTGGCAGTATGGAAATTACAGGTTTATAACAATTTAATTTGTGTTTTGTTGTACATGTTTAAAATAAGACATGGAGTTGTATTAGGTGTGAAAAGATATGGAATGTGAAAGATGTAACAAGGTATGGAAATGTGTTAGATGCGACAAGCTGTGGGAATATGTTAGATGTAGCATGGTACGGGAATATGCTAGGTGTGCCAGAGAATTGTAAAACTGACACATTAGACAATAAGCGCAGTATTAGGTGGGACGGCAGTACACTTTTAAAACATTCCTAGTTGTGTTAGTAGTGACAACAGATAATTGCGTTAGTTGTGATATACTTACATGTGACAGCCAAAGTTGTGACAGGAATCATATCAATATACAAGAACCCAAAGTCGGTCAGGTTGTTGCCAATCTACAATATCACACAGCAAGAAACAACAACTACTCAAAGCCATGCACCGGTCAGTACTAGAGACTGGTATATATATGTATTATCATAAATATGAGGAATTTCACATTTTTAAAAGTTCTAAAAAGAGCTGTGTATATACCTCAATAGTTAGGAACACTTTATATATGAATATATTAAAACATGCAGGAAATTTCCTTGTACATATGATAAGTTGGCCAAAAAAGGCACACAAATTGGGACGAGTATAACTGGGTTGAGTCAATGTGATGCGACTATCTGCACATGTACATAAACATTATACCATCCAGTAGTCAGCCTGCGAACTTTCAATAATATGAGGAAGGTCATTATAACTTACCCAATATAATATGAGGACAGTTACAAACTGTGTCAAGCTGATACACGCCATAAACTTGAAAATCCCAAATGTTGTGGTTAGAGCCGCCTTGCCTTCCCTGTACGAAACACCATTCCGTAAAACATTCTATTAATCTATATTCATTTATGGACTGAATATTTTATTCTGGTATCCACTTTTGTGACATTAAGGAATTTCAAAATATAATTACAAATGCTCTTTAATACACCATACTTGTAACAGATTTTCAACAAAGAATTAACTGTATTCCTGAAATGTAAGCTATGCAAAGTCTTTATCAATTCCTCCCTGTCAGTAAAATACACACTGTACCTTATAAGCGTTGGCGTGCACCGGATGTTCTGCTCCTTAGAGGTAAAAGGTGACGCCACTGAAGCCTCAGCCTCCGTCAACGCAATCCCAGCATGCGCCATTTTGAGAGCTCCACAGTCATTGGCTCCATCCCCGCACATTACCACATAGTAACTGGAGAATACACCATGTGTCTATGATATTGGGTTTAGTATTGGTTAACGTTATAGTGTCAGATGTGGCAGTATTTGAATTGCGAAAATGTGTTAGGTGTGGTAATGTGTTAGGTGTGACAGTGTGTTAGGTGTGAAAGCATGTTAGATGTTTTAGGTATTGCAATGAGTTCGATGTGATAATGTGTTAGATGTGGCAGTGTGTTAGATGTGACAGCTTGTCATCAATATCCATGGATAGTGTGATTGATGTAGCATTAAACTTTTGCTAGGTCTAACCAAAGGACAGATATAAAAGCAGTTTACCCGATCTCTTGTAGCACCTCCACCAGTTGTGCTTTCTGGTTTGGAGACATTCTGGCAAATACCGTGCCTCTCACTGCAAGCTGTAATGTCAACGTTAAAGGTTTACAGTGTTATGTGATATAATTCATTCCCGGCCTAAGATGGCTATGACTATTATATTAAGTATGTCACCAGCAACGAAACCCCAAAATCTGCACATCTACATACCCCCCTGCATCCAGAGCGCATTCCCTGCCTAACAGAGATATGCCACGTTGTAACATTGCATAAGGCGTACAGGTACTTGCAAACTTTGCACTATTCTGCATAACACTTTATTTGTTTGGAGCTTGTTTGTTTAGACCAAATTTTTGTAAGTTTAGTCAAATAATTACTGAGATATACCCGGCATAGCAACATTGCATATACATACTTTGGGCAGTATCTCTGGATACAGTTGCTTAGCAACAGCCCATGTCTTCCCTGTGACTGCAATATGGAATTTGTTGGCTTGCTCCATGACGAGGTTGACGTCACCCTAGGAACAGAGATTGGCTTATTGTTTACCTTATCTACAAGTTGGCATCTGGTTGCATTTTACTTTATTCGTTCAAATTCTCACATGCAAATACCCATGTATGTACATAAATACCTAGAGACACGACACACATACAAACGTATATGTACATTTTCTCTTATTTTTTAATTGACTTCCATGTATATTAATTTATTTTTACAGGTATGTCTATTAATACATGCCTGTTTGTGATGATTCATACATCAATGGCCTGTGATTTCACTTACCAGTTCTCGCACTTTCAGCTCTTCGATTCTCTCGCTGGTCTCCTCAGCAACCACCCACTCTAACCTGGGGTTAAGCTCAGCTCCAGAGGGAGGGGATGCAGTGGCCAGAATGACATTCTGTCCTGGCTGTATCATTCCGCACTCCCTGGCAACACTTAGTGCTGTCAGCATGTTGTCACCTGTCATCCCAAGGACAGAATGTAGTGAAATATAACAATGTGATATATCACAGACCAAGAAAAAAACACTTTTACCAAGATAAACACGTAAAATACTGTTTAGTTTCAAAACTACAGTGTACGTGTCCGTCTTACATTTCTCCCACATCTCTACAACAATCAATACAATGCCTTCCTCTGAGTTTTGCCTAGTCTACCTCACTCTGAGTCTTGACAGGATCCTACTCTCGACAAACCCTATTAAGTTTCCTTGTCACAGCCATACAGGCATTAACTCATTTTCACTTTCAAATTTAACACACTGCCTCCTTCTTATGACAACATCAAGGTTATCTATAACATCAGGTGAGCACGTGTATTACATTTTCATCTCAACTAACACATCGACTGTCTCAACTAAGACATTTTTCAGCTCAACTACCACATTGTCCATCTCAATTAACGCAATCTTCACCTCAATTTAGACAATGCACATCTCAACTACCACAATGCCCCTCACCTGTTATCATCACTGGCCTTACATTGGCCTCCTGCAGCACTTTGATGGTAGAGGCACTTTCTGGTTTCAGCTTGTTCTCCATCACCAGCAGTCCTAGAAAGCTGAGGTCACATTCCACTTCTTCCCTACAATGTAAGATTACATGAAAGCATTAATGCCAGGCATGGCCTAAGATTGAGGATATATGCACGAGCAAAAGCTAATTTAGATGAGACATAAAATCGTATTGACCTAAAAGCTTAGAAGCAGTGTCTGTATATAACCATAGTAGTGTTGATCTTGCGATGACGTGTTAGATAGTGACATCTGTCTGCAGAGATGTACACACACACTGCCAATATTCAATACACCAGAAAACAACAATCTCAGTCTGCAAACTCCTCATGTACCTTGCCACTCTCTGTATCTTCACATAGTTCAGCTTGGGAAGAGGTCTCCATGCCAAAGCCAACACGCGGTAGCCTTGCTCTGTGTACTGCATCAAGACATTGTGGAAGTTCTTAGGAACTGAAATAAAATAATATAATTTCTAATTAAAATCATCGCAAAGCATACTGATCTGAAACATTTGTTATAGCAAATGCGGTCTGAATATGTAGAAAGTTATAATGAAACCGAAACAAACATAAAGACAATTACATATTTTCAAAGGTGCATACAGCAAGCAATCTTGATAAGTAAGCCATGATATATTGAGGAATAAAATAATGTGTTATATAACGTCTAACTTTCATCTAAGAAAACACCAGTCATAAACACATCTACCTGTTTCCGGTTTTGACAGGGACTCTATCTTCTCTGGGGATCCTTTAGCATACAGCTGGAAGTTGTCGTGTCCCAGAATCCTCACAATCACGGACATTCTCTGGAGGGCAGAGGTAAAGGTGAACTGCCGGACAATACCCACCTCTAATGGCGCCAACTGTGAGGAGAAAAAATGACACAGCTGATTTTATCATACATTTTGTTGAGTAGATATGTTGAAAAAGGGTTTTATATATAAATTTGATCTGCCAGTGAATCACACGGACTGTCTTCAGTATATGTTTCAGCAATACGTTCTAGGTGTGACAGTGTGTTTGTTGTGACAGTGTGTTAGTTGTGACAGTGTGTTAGATGTGGCAGTGTACCTCAGGAGGCAGGTTGGCAGCATTTACGATATCAGGCCGTGACGGACGGACGATGGTTGGAGCCAGCGATTCATACTTATTGGTCTCCTCTTCTCCTGGTTCTTCCAATTCCTGAAGAATAAATTGACATCAGTCCATTTCAAGCTGATATTTTCATTGTCGTTTCTTTAAATTAGCTTATGTAACTGATATTGTGAAAGATTTTTTGTAGTTAGAACTTTGTTGATTACCTGTATCTTCCCTCATTCAAGGGCATTTGAAAACATAGTCAAGTTATCCCAAATCTACTAATTGATTAGCAGGAATCTTGCAAAACTGTATACACTTAAAAACTTTTTAGACATATTCAGACATTACCCAAGCATCGCGTAAAATTTTCTTTTTTAATCATTTAAACTGTCATTGGCATTTGCATACCAGATGTCTCCTCTAAGACGTTCTAGTGTCCAGTGTTCTCCGTGTGTATCATCTAAAAAATCAGTACTTACCCAAGTGGTGGCTTCAAACATTTTCACATCCAGAGGATCACCAGAGATGTCTCCTTCTATCCTGGTCAGAGAGTGACAGGTTGCCATGGAGATGAGAAGGTTGTCTTCAGGCAAAGTGTTTGCTTCGTGGACAACATCTTGGAATCTAAAAACAACGAAAAAAACGCTCTGAAAAAACACTGCAACAAAACTCAATGACAACTTTGATTCTGATAAAATTAACAAAGCTTATTACAACCTAAGCTATGTGGTTCTAAGATGTTATCTGCTCACCTGCCTTCCTCCGCAGGTACCACACCCCAGATATCCAGGCCATCTTCTGTAAGGGTACCTGTCTGGAAACAGTTATACCGGTAATATCGTTTTAAATATATGTGATAAACAAAATTACTAAACAAAATAATTGAATTATTTTCATATTTCAACTTTTCAAATTAACACCGAGTTCAGTTCATAAACAGAAAAGAAACAAAATGAATCTGCATTAATTTAAATGTTATTAAATTATTTGATTTCTGGTTTGGCACACAATAAACAAAAATGACAGAGGCACTATATGAGATTTTGTGGAATTATTATCCGTGTAGACACCAAAATGAAAGCCTACATGTACCTAATTTAAGAGCAAATGTGCATGTCTACCTTATCAAAGCAGACCACATTAGTGGATCCACACACTGGGATGGTGGCCGGGTTGATGCAGTAGATACCAGTCTTCTTAAGGCGGCTCTGTGCGAACACTGTGCCAATGGTGAGTGCCGCAGGGAGGGCCGGGGGTACCGCTATGGTGATTAAATCTAGAGTACGGAGAACTATGTCTCCCGGCTCTTCTTCATCACCCACCTGAATATACATGATTATTTGTACTGAAAGTTCTTAGTGTGTCTTGTTTTCAAAAACTGTGACCGCGTAAAAAAGAAAACAACCATATATATGTGTTCGGCCCAAATGTGACCTCACAAAAAGTCAATAATAGTACAACATGATAGCATATGATAAACCATTACAAAGACAAATTTAGTTTATATTATTTATGCTCCCTGCATGTCAATGTGTGTTATGCATCCTCACCATTATGACTATGACATAGATGAAACCCATGAAAGCAATGGCGGCCAGGGCACCAACAAACAAGTACGCATCTTGAGTAAACTTGAAGTTCATTGGCTTTGGAAACATAATGGACCTCACCAGTTCCCCCTTGGCCGTCATAAAACCTAGAACAGACTTTTAGTATTTATAAAGCCAATCAAAGACATCTTATAATTTTATACCAAACTTTTTAAATAATAAATACGTGAATATATAAGGACAATTATACTAGGAACATGTGCACAAAATAAACATTTATTTGATACATACTGCAAAATGACTTTCTGGCAAACCACTAACTACATTGGTACCATGGCATTGTGTGTTTAAACAATGATTCTGTAACAACAATAAAAACTTCTGACTGAGCCTAAAATGTGGCATGACATCGTCTACCTGTACAAGTACAGAATATATAATTATTTATATGATAAAGTTTACCTGTCCTGAGGACCACTGCCTTCACTCTCTGTCCTTTATAGAACCTGGTTTGTATAACTCTAGTCCCACAGTACAGGATATGGCGCGAGTGATGACTCATAGAGAATGTCTCTTCAGCAGAGCCTGGGTTGGGCTTAGGAACTGGTGTTTTGGTGACAGGGACACTTTCACCTAGAATAAATTGATTCTGGTAATATGATGTCTTTAACTTAGATCTATAGATAGAAAATAAACATAATTAAAATAATTAATACAATACAGTGTAGTCCGAAGATTTAGCAGTCCGATGGTTGATTGGCCCAAATGTTCGCTTTGGAACCCTCGGACCAACGAACCCTTTAAATAAAATAAACTTTTGAAAAAGTTATGGTTTTTTGGACTAAAGAACTTTTGGCCTCATAAACGTTCGGACTTTTGACAAGCACCTTTTACTACACGTACACTGTATACCTGAAAGTATGCTCCCACTGATTATACAACCTATTGCCTACCTCAGCATCATACAGCCAATAGATGGCACTACTATACATACCTGTCAGCATGCTCTCATTGACAATACAGTTTCCAGCTATGAGGACAGCATCACATGTCATGATGCAGCCATGTCGTGGAATTTCTAGGATATCTCCAGGTACTAGAGAATCTGAGGACATCTCACTAAAATCTAATTAATATCCTTCATTTAAATTCCATATCCAATATAGAAGAACATATAGACATATGTGTCACTGCCTTAAGAAAGACTATATATATGCTAGAATTTTAGTTCATAAAACTATACACAATAAGTTTACTACATATATAACTGTGCTCTGGATTCATGCCTGATGCTTGCCTGCGTTTCAATATTTTAACTTATATATGTCAATAATTAAAGAACTTCAGACAAGCAGGCATATATAAGTATGTGGAAAATAGAATGGCAGAGCATCAGATGTGCTTCACTGGGACAGGTTTAACTAACCATCAGCATGTGTCCCTTGCTTTACTGTCACCGTGTCCCGGCCATGAATGGTATTCTTCAGTTTTCTCTCCATCTGGAATGGGTGTTTAATTCTATAAATGAATTCAATGTTTTAATGTAATGTGTGCAGATGCATGTGCGCATGTTGTTTTTGCAAAAGTCTCTTCTTTGAGAAACATGAATATCGTTGGTACTGGAACTTACATTTAGTATCTGATCGATGTTGCGGTCTCAACCTAAGACCGGGTAAATGACCTGGCTGGACTGGTCCTCTGGCCTAAATCGGTCAGGTGTTTTACAATGTTGGCTCCAGTATCAGAATAATTCACATTTCTCATTCTCATTTTACTGGATGACTAACAACATAAACACAGGTCTCTTCCACTGTAACAAGCACCCTCACCTTCCTGATCTGGTATATGGCCACCACGATGGAGACTGAGGTGATGAGGACAATGGTGCTGGCGTAATAGTAGTACACATCCGCGTACCACAGGGCACAACTGAACACTTGGAACACGTAGAACGGGCTGAAAATCTGGAGCAGAATTGGCACCCGTAAGTATCTCCACGGTGGAGGAGGAGAGTAATTTAATAACTCAACATTCTGTCTCTCCTCATGAGGACTTCAATTGTCCACTGATGGTTGCTATGACATCAAAGACCCTCCTCCTGAGGTCTTCATCTGGTCACTGATTGATACTATGACAACAATAGACCCTCTTCAAAAATTCTTCACCTATTCACTGGCGGTTGCTATGGCAACGCTATAGCCTCCTCAACTGTACACCGATGGTTACCAAATTAAAGGTAAAACTTTGGAAATAAATTGATTGCCATAGATAGACAGAAGCAGATCAGTTAATGATAATAAAGCCAGTGAATCACCCACCTGCTGTATAAATATCTTCAAAATAGGAGTAACGTGGACCTCAATGTAATTTGCACCATAAAGCACAATTCTGAAAAAAAACAAAAACGTGTATCTGACATGGAGAAACCAAATCTCAATGTGTTAAAAAGATTCCAATCCCAAAGAATAATATGCTGCCTCACATTTAATTTCGTTTTTAAGACATTACAAGGGGTAAGAAGGGCAGATAGGGTGTCTTTTTTGTGAAACTTTGAGTGTTCAGTATACCATCAAATGATATACGTACATCCTGAATTCTTTGTTTTTTCTCCAAAATGTGAGAGACTAAAGCTTACTGAATCTGTCCACAAATTTCAATCCTTTCAGCCCCACTTCTTCCTCTCAAACTTTACAATACAAGCGGCATCATGAAAAATACACAACTCACTCATACAAAATATTAACACTTTAACACTTTAGTTTCTCACCTTCTTGCTCTCTCGTCTGCACTGACTCCTTCTGCTTCATAGAAATATGCGCAAGACACTCCCTCTTCCAGACCCCTAAGACAGGATGATGGGTACAGGAATTAACAGCTGACATTATTTTATAAATTTATAAATGAAAATCATTAAATGAGGGGGGAATTTCAAAAATATAATAAATTGTAACAGGTTACATGTGCATGGTGGAATGATTAACCTCTACAATTTTACCGAAATATCATGAGTTAATTACTTGAGACGTTCAAAGCTCTTGAGCTCTGCATTCCAAATATATTTGATCTTCTTGTTCACAAAGTTTCTTATAATGGCTTCGGGCTGAAATAAAAACAAAACAGAATTTTAACAGGATTTAAAAGTAAATTAATTAAACACGCATTAGATAAAAAACACAAACAGAATATATCAATTTCCAAACAGATTATACAGACTCCACAAATGTTCAAGTGAAAATTGCTGAAAGAAATTCAACGTATGCATTGTTTTTCTCCAAATCCCAGTTGTAAGTAATGTTATTTCTAGCCTTGATATATTTCGATAACAAAGATTCATTTTACTTTTTCCATTGTATTTCTTGATGAGGTCTTGGTCAGGTTTGCCTTGGGATCCAGCGATATATGTGGGACGTGAGTCAGGGACTCCACACTCTCAAAGCTGGACGACAGGTCTGGATCCACGCTGAAACACACACAGAGGTAGTCACATGAAGACTAACAGAGAAGTAGCCGCATAAAGACTAACACTTAATTACACTATATACGAGTCAAAAAATGGAACTCTGATATTTGACTTCCAATTTATCACCAGAATTTGGCGCTTTCGTTCCAATAAAGGAAACAGTCTTATCCAACACCAAATTAATTTACTTTGTTTTGGTATAGAGAAAAGCATATATGTAACAATTAACTGACGCGTTGGGAAGAAGAACTGATTTGAAATGACAAACGCTACCTCTGTCCCTCCCTAGTAACTGTCCTCACTTTGTTGACTGACCACTGCAAGTACTGGTCCTGAAATATAGGTCACAATAAACTAAGTATGGTTTTTATGTTTTGTGATTTGCTTAGCTGGGATCCAATCCTCACACTGCATTATATTATAAGATTGGTCAGTTAACATTGTAAATACAAGCACGCTGTGACACGAACACTGATAAATTTAACATACCGCCACACAAAACACACTGTCCACCTAACACACTGTCACATCTAACACACTGTCACATCTAACACATTGCCTCAACCAACACACTGTCACATCTGACGAATTGTCACAATTAGCCTATCACAGTTACATGAACACACTGTCGCATCTAACACGCCGTTATATTTTACAAGTTGTCACACCAAACACACTCTCACTCTCCCCAACACACTGTCACACCTAATACACAGTCACATTTAACACACTAGCTCTCAAGTGAAACAATGACAAGATCAACTTACCTTCAATAACACACGGGTGGCCTTGCTAAGTGAACAGCGAGAGTGAGTACATTGTAACATCCAGTCCCGCCTCCAGTAGAAAACTAAGCCCAGGAACCCCGCTGTCGCCACTAGGAACACTCCACTTATGACACATTTGAAGATACTTCTTCTGTGCCCATAAATTTCCTGCAAACAAAGCGTTCACTAAAAATGAAGCCTACATGCAGGGTGTTTACATCCTAGTAAAAGTATGCGGTAAGAGAGAGAGAGAGAGAGAGAGAGAGAGAGAGAGAGAGAGAGAGAGAAGCAGAAGAAGAGAGAAATTTTTAGTTCGGCAAAAAAATATTGTCATTAAAAAATAGCTGACTTCAAAAATCCATGCTCATACCATCTGGTCCTCTTCTCCTGGGTTCACATACGACTTGTTGGGGTCCATTGGAGGGGGCCCCGTACGAGTGATCTTCACATCAGAGGACATGGCTGCCTTTACTGCATGTAACATACAGAAAACGTGTGTAGAAATTACACATGGCATTTTACATATATACAGTACGAGTGATTTCCATACCAGATGCCATGGTTGTATTGTTACATAGAGAAAATATGGGTAGATTACAGATGGTACTAGTATATTACAGAAGTTCATTTCGAGTGATCTTAACATCAGATGACATGCCTGTCCTTGTTTACATATGTTAAATGCCAGAGGCGGATTTAGGTAGGGGGTGTCAGGGGGCTCCTGACTACCCCCTCCCCCTTCGATTTCTGAAAACAATCACAACAATGGTTCTCTCTTGAAATTATAATTTTGACTAGCTGCATCATACCTTTAAACCCCAGTACATGCTGGTAGTAACGCTCTGATAACTTCTACATAGCACAAACGCCTTGTTCTGACACGGACAATACACATTCAGGGGCGGATCCAGGATTATATGAAGGGGGGGGGGTCTGTGGATGGGAAGCCGACTCCCCCCACACTTTGGGGTCCGCTGAAAGGCCGCATAAATTTTCGGTATTTTAAAGGGCGAACGGTGCCATTTAGTACGGTTTAAAGGTATGATCCAGCTAGTCAAAATTATAATTTAACGTATCGACGAATTCACCACGAGTATTTCGTAACGTTACTATATAGCTTCCATTGCATCTAGCTTTACAGTTCTTAAATTGTCTCGAAATACATGGTTTCTGTAACATGCATAGGAAGACAACAAGTGACTCAACTTTTGGCAACAGTTAATACTTGCGGACACCCAGAAACTATGCTCTAACTGGCGTGTCAAAATCCAATCAGCAATTTTAAAAGATAAAAAAATTATATGTCGCACGCAAACGACTAGCTCATTAAAGTTATTTGGGTCGTCTCTGCGTAAACATTCATTTATAGTCAATGTTTTCCACAAAAGCCAACAACATACCACTATATATTTTCAAAATGCATACCGATGAGAAGTACCAAAGGACTTATTTTCAAATTACCAAAAATGAGATATTTGAACGGATGTTTCTGCTAGCTTAATTATGTGCTGTATGTAAACGGGGCAGATAAGCACTATATCTAAGAGATCAGATACATGTAAGTAGGTAAAATTTACAACAAATAGTTTGAAGAATGTGCAGTTTAAATTTCTTTTATGGATTATCGAGTAAATAATAATGTTTATTCCTCGCATGATGACTATATTAAAATTGTATAAGGAAGAAGTAAAAGCGGTTTATATGGGTAACTGGGAATCCTCATTCCGCCGAAGCTCGGTTTAAAATGTACATTTGAAGTAGTTAAGGTAACACCATGAAAATATAGCAATCCATGATAAACGAGTTCTAAGACGTCTTTACTTATTTTATACAAGTACATTCATGTCCCAGATGAGGCAGCAATTTAAAAGACTTACCTTGTGTAAATATTCCAGCAGCTGAGTTAGGTTTACCTTTTTTGTTGTCGTCTTACAACAATGTTTTTTAAAGAATCACTGAGCAAAACATTGCTCCCCACAGCGACTGCCACGATATCAGATTGCAATGCAGGCTTCGTGTATAGTTAATTAATTAGAGTTAATTAAAACAAAAAATTAGATAATTCTGTCCTGGTATCTGCCCTGTGCGGACATCAAGACGCTCAGAGTTCAACTTTACCACTTTTTACACCTACCGGTAGAACGCCAGTCCCGCGCTGTGCGCTACCCTCCACTTAGTACAGTAATGAACGACTCCTTTGTCAAAATCAGTAGAATATACAAAGTTCTGAATTTTTTTTTCCTGAACCTGTAGATCTGTCTTTCGTCAGCTGATTGACCTGCAAGGTAAACAGAAAAGTTCTGTTTATTTTCCTGAGATAAGGTATAGGTAAAGGACCCCCAATGTCATAACATGCATACCATCGTCTCCTCTTCACCTGACATCTGACCCCGTCTTCTGTCATGAATGGCAATAAACTGAAGCACTAGCAGGTGGAGGTATGGAGATTGGGGGGAGTGGACGGTAGATAAAACATGCACGTTTTCTTTGCTTCGCTGACCAGGTTATGTATACCAGAGCGTCCAGGGTGCTGTGCAGCCCATCACCACCCCCACCCCCACCCCGCTCGCACCCCATACCTAGTGGTTAATGGTATTGGGTAGGTCTACTGGGTGAAATATTCTCCAAGACTTCAGTCCGAGGCGATAACCTCCAATGCTGTAACCATGTACTCTGTTTCACGAATAAAAGTAAACAAAAATTAAGTACTATATAATAACTTACAAGACTGCTTTAACTACAAAATATAAGTACTATATAATAACTTACAAGACTGCTTTAACTACAATACGTTTGTAGATTTTATGTTTACACATACATCTGACGTGCTGCCCGTTTAAGCATCTACGTGCATTGGTACACAGGTTAAATGTTTACCTTCACCTAAATATGTACATGTGGACTTAGTACACGGCAGGATAGTAACACATACATGTATATACATGTACAGGAAACAACCACCTCCCCCCAGCCCAACCCGTCAGCCCCTCCCACCCTTAACCACTGGACACATGCCTACGTCTTTGAAAGGCTTCCAAGCATGTCCTAAAAGCACACCAGCCTGTCAGTGTATTACCTGCGGGGTACAATACTGCTGGCCGATACAATGACCGACCACCACGCTTGGCCAACTCTGCATAAAAGAGTGAACGGCCACTGACCGTTATCTAAAGAATGTGACATTTATGGCTGGACATTTAGGGGCGTTGGTCAGTCATGATAACGGTAAACAGTATGTGTGTGTGACAATGTCGTCTGCAGTCCATAAATAAAAATGTAGATGCACTCTACAATCGTAGCTCCTGGCACGGCTAGGATTGAGTGATGGAGGGGTAGGGGGAGAGGGGTCACCTATTTGCTGAGGGGGCACACTTAATTCTAGTAAAATGTGTACCTGCAATTTACACTCAGTACATTGAATAACTTCGGGCGCCTTATGCTGATGTTCTATTTTAAGATATCGCTGTGATAACAACACCCCTACCTGTGCCTCTTCATGCCCGCAGCACTGCTATTACATGACATTACATTGATTCGCTATCTTCTTAACTTAAATACCTAGTACTCCTAGAATTGTTAATTAATACTTTATTGGAGATGTACATGTAACAGAAAGGTAGTCAAAGACCCAGAGGTCGTTATTTCAGTTGAACAAATCAAGTTCCAGCTGCAGGTAGGCGCTGTACACACACCCGATCATTCTCCACCGCTAATTTAGTTCTATATTTTGTCATTTACACCTGTCACGTGGGTCCCAGCACCGCCCTGCTGTCCGATCATGTTCATACTTGGACCTCCTGATACCAGTCCCACACATCAGACTAACTTTAGGTTCATACACACTGGCTTGGACCTACCTTCGGTGCACCTTCGCTCCCTGACTGCGACAATTGTCGACCTCTCTAAGCGTCATGGTCTAGATCTGACCTACTATTTGTGTACCTGTAAAAGTTCACAAATCAGTGTGACAGGAATCTTGTCTCGATAAGTGTCAGTGACCTCGCTTTTCGATAACTACCAGTACTGTCACCACGAGGGAGAAATATCTATGATACTACAAGTATAACTTGAAAAGACTGGGCAAAGAGGCGTATCTTGACTGATAGTATGAACAAGACCGAGTTATCTGTCGGGAATAGCACTGGAGATATCTTGGTGTGTTACGTGTGTGTGAAAAAGAGAGTGAGTAATAAAACATCAGTGTTTTCATAAAAGAGAGCTTTAAATGCACACCTAACAGAGAACTTGTGCAACAGCGCACAACATCCAGGACCAAAAAAAATACGAGTAGCTACATTTCTGTCGGAGAAGAAGGGCACGTCAACAAAACAGTGCAAACAAGTGACACGGCCCTCCCGCATGCCTGTGCATTGACCCTGATTTGTAATGTACAGGTGGAGCCACTTTACAGACGTGTCCCTGCACATAGCTGGAGTATGGGCCGTTTATGAATGCTTGCTAAACGCATAGGAGAGCCAACTTTTTTTATGTAGATGGCGAGATAGGCGCATGGCAATAAGTCATCGGTGTGGCTGTTGTAGAGAATAACTTTCTTATGTAGTGTTATCACGAGAAAATTCCATCTAATGTCGCCCTTTCGTTACATCCCTGTCATAAACAGTAGACATGTCGATATATCTACGTCTTAAATTTTTACCCGACCTTAATAAAAAAAATAATAATAATAATAGTTAATCGCAAAAGGTCATTAGTGGCAGTTTGAGTCTAGTTAAAGAGCTAGGCTGTGTGGACATACTACTTTTATATAATAATAATAATAATAATAATAATAATAATAATAATAATAATAATAATGTTTATTCAGCCATAACATATCACTTTCATATTATATTCAACATTTCAAGGTAACACGTACACGTCACGGCAAAATTGGAATGCTTTGATTGTTCCAAACACCCCCCCCCCCCTCCCTCCGACCAGTGAAGACGTTGCTGTACAGATAAATGTACTGCAGAATGTGAGAGGCGCTCAGACACCGAGCCACGTGTGAAGTTTTACATTGTGCCCCTCACATATCAACGACTTCATGCTCGCCGTGGTCCCCCATTTCTAGCCCAGATAGCGTAAAACGTTCATGCAGTGGGCTTTCTTAGAGATCACTAAGCTATGGACAGTTAATTCTTGTACATCTCGCTGAAGAACTCCACGATGAAATCGTCAATAATTCCTTTGTCCGGAATCTTGGCCATCATGCCGTACATGGCTGCAGTGCCGCCCGCTGACTGGCCAGGGTTTGCCTGGAGGGAGAGAAACTTGGTTTTAATTAATCTAAAAATATTTTTGATAAAGTTTTAAATCTGATCTTCCATCAATGTGAGTAAAGTTCATTGACGAAAGATGCATTTGAAATTATTTTTGACGCATAAGCCCTCCAGATGCCAACTTATACATGTAGTTTCAAACAGTGAAGCTTAAAGAAATCCCTAAGGATTTCATTTCATATTAGCCGAAAAGTGATATTTGAATGAATATTTACTGCTTTCTTTCTATGCTACATGTGACGGGATGGTACGTCTACTTACGACCAAAACAGTGAAGAAGGCGCAGTTTCAAAGCTCTTTTATGGCTGATCGAGAGATTAATTCTGTTTATCCCTTAGCATATCGACTTTATTTGAGTCGTAGATGAAGCTAGCAGAAGTGGTTTATATGCGTTACCGGGAATTCACGCTCGGTTAAAATTGTATCTTTAAACTAGACTTATACACACATTCTTCATTGCGCTAGTTGTGACAAGCTGATTGCTCTTACCTTCACTTCCTCTGCCGCCGCCTTCAGGTCTGCAATGAAACCGTCCAGCACATTCAGATGGTGAGGCATCAGCGTGAAGTGAATAGAATTTGGAAGTTGCTGACGTTCTATTTTCCAGCCTGAAATTAAGGTATAATAATAACAGGATTTTCAATTTTAAACACGACGTTATTTGTCACTGGCGCACACCAGAATCCTAGATGGAGTCTAGGTTTACAAGTTACACAGTATAAATATCATGCTAAGCTATCATTGCCTTATTTAGAAATTAAACTATGGCCTTTCAAGGGTGATTCCAGGGCGTCAAAAAAAGCGAAATGGTGCTGGGGGACTGTGAAGGTGGGGTGAGGCCAGGGGCAAATTGGCCAGCCATTTGTTTACGAAAAGGGCGTTGTTTGCTACTTTTGTTCTTTAGACTATCAGCCAGGACCTAACCCTTAAATAATCCACCCAAATGATCTTCATGCATGCGCAGCCCATTGCCCAAACTTACCTTTATTCTCCAGGATATCTGCCAGGACCAGAATATCAAATTTAGAATCTGCTGACATCAGTGCAAATATAGTCATATTTGGCTCACCGACCACCTGCAGGCTCTAGGAAAAACAAAAACAAAATATATTAATAAATAATAATACATTCCTAGGTCGGTTCTTTCCTTAATTATTTTGATCCCTGTTAAGAATTTTAATTCNAATAATACATTCCTAGGTCGGTTCTTTCCTTAATTATTTTGATCCCTGTTAAGAATTTTAATTCGAAAGAACCGCCCCTTTTGCTGGAAAAAGGTCCACTCTGGGTAAAATTTGATCTAAGTACATGAAGTTTTTATGGGAAAAGGTCCACTTTTTCAGAAAAAGACCTCCCCCCCCCTTTTGAAATTGCTAGCTACGGGCCTGTACATGTAAGTTGATAAGTGTTCGCTGTATCAGTCAGGTGTGAAGTAAATGTAATCAGTCATGTGACACTCATGAGACTACACCTAGATCATACTGCTACCAGACTGAGAGAGGAGAGGGACGTGTAAAACTGGTTCTCTAGCTTGCTTTGACTCTACAGACTCTACAATTATGTAAGTGTTTGGGTTTGTTCTAATTCTATGTATTTATGGAGACTGTTGTTTTATTTATTTTTATTGACTGGTGTAACGTGACAGAGAGTCCCCCGTGACAGAGGGTTCGTTTCCCATTCATTACTTACAGGAATATTACGCACAGCGTCCAGAACTTTGTCCCTAGCGTTCATCAGTTGACGGGCGATATCTGTGTACCCGTCCTCTCCTAAAACCCTCATAGCTGCCCAGGCCGCGGCGATGGTACCACCTACAGTGGATAGAGGGCAGTATTGTCACTAAAATTCGTTTATCTTAAACAGTTTAACCAACATTCTGTCTCTCACTGTCTAACATTGTATTAACACAGTTTCAAGCGGTAGACATCAAACATTACACCTGTATCTTTACCTGGACGACTTCCCGCCATGCTCGGCGACCCAAACAACCCTCCTGGCCATCCTGAGTACGCGAAGATCTGGTATTTCCTCAGCTCTTCACTACGGTACAGCACCACGCTGGCGCCCTAGAAGTGGATACACTATGTCTTATTTGGTTAAAACTGTGTTGTTATACCCCTGTAGATTGATTTAAGAGGGTCCTCGGAATGCCATCAAAGGTCCTATGCAGAATAGGGGACTAACTAGTCCGAGGGTCAAATATGGCGACCTACTAAAAAGCTTGTCGTATAATCCTAATAGACACTGAAGAGATATCCCGTGGGGAAGTATTCAAGTGGGTCGGCCATATTTAACCCTCGGACTAGTTAGTCCCCTATTTTGAATGGGGTCTAATATATTTTTCCTCACATACTACCTGTGTAAACATATATACTCCACATCCTTCTAGTTGGGCGACTGAATATTTGCTGTCGTAGTGCAGGTATATAATCAGAGTGACCGTGAGTTAACTCAACAATTATACTCACCTTGAAAGTATACCCATACTTATGGAGGTCAGCTGACATTGACGTCACGCCAGGCAACCGGAAGTCGAACGCTGGGACCTGGTAACCCAATTTTTCCACCCTGCAATATTCGTGTTAAAAATGTACGCAAACACCACAACACATGTAACAGTGAATATTAGAATACCTACAAAAGGTCGGGTAAATCAGATACATGTAACGACTCGACCAAAATAAAATCCTAGTAAAGTCAATACTATAATATACAGTACATGTAATTCCCCTTGTTTCTTCACACCACTCTACAACTGTCCTCCTTTCTAATGGCTGTGCCATGGAGACAAAACCTAACTCAACTCTATAGTGAATATGGAATGAATATTACCATGGCAACATATAACCTCCAACACAAGCGTCAACATGTAGAGGTAGGCCGCGTCTGACGGCAATCTCAGAGATCTCAGGAATAGGGTCCACGACGCCATGACAGTACTGGGGTGCAGACGCCAGGAGGACGATCGTCTGCGCAGTGATGGCCTGCAACCAAATGAGAAAGATAATAATTTATTAAAATTTAATTTGAACGTTTAAAGCACAATGCCTGGTAGACCAATACACAGTATCAAAAGGACATCCGATGTTCAAGAAGTTACTGTTTATTAAAAGAAATCAAGTGAAATACGTTTATTAAAACAATACAAGGATAATAAAGTTTCACGAATTTAATTTTCTCTTCAAGTCTCGACTTTTCTTTAGGAATGTAAACAAGTATGGGATCCACTTTGGGGGCCAATGCACCACAATCACCAGGTCTGAGAATTTTCTCAACAGCATCTTAGGGCAGTCACATTTAGGGACATTACTGGTGGAACCCCAACAATCACACACACGCACCACTCTCAAACATACACTCATGCTCTCTCAATTTACAGACCACGCCCCCTCACTACCGTTTTCACGTGTTCATGTCTCTGAGATCTCTGGTACACGGTCACCGTGACCAACTCCAGACCGAAGTAATACCCTCACCTGTTCATACTCCGCCATGTCTGGTCTCTGAGATCCCTGGTCCACGGCCACTGTGACCAGCTCCAGACCGAAGTAATGGGCCGCCTTCACGAACGCCGGGTGGATAGTGACGGGCGCTACCTGCAGCAATCAAACAGCGCCGTCAACACAGGGGAAGGTATTATGAATATTTTACCTCTTCGTATTATTTATTTTTACGTTATAAATTTCATTTTATTTCTTGTTTAAAGGCTGTAATGTCACTAATTTCTAATACAATTTTATTGCAAAACAGTGTTGATACTGGGATGATTCTTAGCGTTAATATCATTTTGACTTAAAAAAAAACATTTGTTTCAATCTATACTGCAATATATAAATACAGTTTACCTACCATGTTTGGAACTTTGATGTGAGGGAAAAGTTTCCTTGCCCTGTCCCTGTACGTTTTTACCGCCATAAGAATGCTTTCCGTGCCTCCTGACGTAAGAGAGCCGACCACGTGACCATCCCCGTGAAGCATATTGGCGCTCATAGATATCACTTCAGTTTCAAATTTTCTGAAAAAAGTAATTTTTTTAATTAGTTTTTTATTTTTAAACCTCAAGAAGCAAGTATATTTAACAGTTAGGAAATAAATCTTTTCATATGATACAAATTTAATCACAGTGCTATTCAATGTTTTCAGTTTTGCCAATTTGTACTCATATGGTGGGTATAGAAACGTTCATTTCATGAAAAATAGTTTACAAAATATTCTTCTAGCATTGTTAAATTGAACGAACAACTAGAGTTATAATTTGTTATTTCTGCAACCAGTAGCGTACATGTATATGCAGTTTGTGTTACAAGAAAGTAGGTACCCGGTATATATACAGTAGAGCACCTGTACTGTGCGCCCGAATAAGACAGGGAGGAAAGCCATTTTAAGGTTAAGTCATCTAAAAGTTGTCGGAAATTTCAGCGCTTTTCGTGAGTGCTATTTTCCATAGGTATATATATATGTATGTTATCACGTGTCAGCCTACCGTAGACTGGGGAACACCATGGGACTGAGCGCGTTCTCGTGTAGGAAAGCGTGGTGGGCCTCCAGCACAAGTTTATCGTGGTGAGTAGAGAGCTGGGGTTGCTCTGAAACATAAAACACCAACAAACGTAAGGGATGTTCATTTAACAGCTTAACACAGTACGTGTGAGATCAATTTTGAACTCGAGAAGGCAATACTCAGTTTTGCTAATTTGTCTATCGCGACATTTCCTATTTTTACATGTACATGTCTTATAAAATGTGTGCGCTGTCTGTTCGCCGTGCTCTCACCAGTATAAAGGTTGAAAGCCTCGAGCTGCACTTGCTCCAGCTTGTCGTTCTCCTGTGTGTAGACATAGGCGAAGATCTTCCCTTCCTCCATCACAGCCACCTCCCGCTCCTTCATGGCGTTCATTTCCTTTAACAGTTCAGCTGGCGGAATTCCTGAGGAGACCAGAGATCAACTGATTACCAATATGAACAGTTCTATGCTGGTTGTGAATTTATATGTGTGAAACCTGGGTATCTAATTTACTTTGCACATGAAGCGACACGTGTTCTGCTAGAGAAGTACTGGTAGCCTATAAAAGTTGTAACCAGAATTTTAGACGAACATTTTTTAACTAAGAGGAAAAAAATATTTTGTGGTCGAAGAATTTCCAAAATTTATTTATTTAAAAATTCAACCGTCTGGTTGCTGCTAAAAAAACAAAAGGTGTACATGTACTACCTGTTTTTGGTATCACAACAATCCTCTTGGCGGCCGCCTGCGTCTGCCCGCTGGTTCGGGAGGGGTCACTCTTCACCTGGTTAATGAACCCCTGGACCTCATTCTGGAGCGTGGACTTAATCAGTGAATCCACCCCGGGAACGGTCAGTTTCAAAAACCGAAGTAGTTGACCGACTAGTCCACCGAGTCCGTGTAGGAACGCTGTCTGGACTGCCCATAGGATGACCAGGGTAAAGACCACGTGTTCCGCCCAGAGCAGGAAGGCTGAGAACATACATTGTACATATAAGACCATGCACGGTGATGTAGAAAGTTTATATACCAGCATATAGGCCCTATCATATATTAATTTTCATTTATAGACCTACTTTTACTGTGTAAACATGACAATAAATAAATTATTATTATTATTATTATTATTATTATTATTATTATTATTATTATACACAACTGTAGGCCTACACATGGTCTACAACATATATATGTCGCATATAGATCTGTCGTATATACGACTCCTATATAGGCCTACTTGTGTGCAGTAGGTCGACAACGCCCTAATAAATAAATAAATAAATAAAAGGAATGATAGAAACAAACATGCATTAAATTTTATCTGCCCTGTTTGATAAATATGGCAAAATGGAAGTCTTTGTGCACAATTGTAGGCCATTATTTTCAGTTGGCTGTGATCAAGCAACTGTTATTCTACACGGGTATAAATAGCCTACTGTGCGAACAAACTGTTGTGACAGGAATGGAAGTCCGCTAGGAATCGTAGTCTGTTCCCTATTACTTTGTACAGCTAGGTGACATATATATTCGTCCAATATACTAACCCCAATACTGCGACTAACCCTAACCTGTAGGGCCTACTAATCATATGGGGTCCAGGCTTCCATTCCTACATGTAGGACTATCATTCCTGTCACACCGGCAGTGCTCTTAAGTTGTTAGTTTGTTAATGCTTGCTTTTATACATTCACAGTATAGGCAACTGACAGCTTGGCGTGTTTCTCTTACGTAAGTTACACCTAGGTTAATAAAGTCGGACCTACTTACAAGTAATACTGATCATAGTGGCTCTAGGCAGTATACAGGTCGACCCTCCCCTTCAGCTGCCGCTACACTTTGTACATACTATACTTATACAAGGACAATCATACAGGATCTTTACTAATCAACCAGGGTGAACTATATCGATATCTCGCCCCAACCTGGACAACGAGATATAGGTCAAGTCGTGACCTAGATTGACACTGATGCTGTAGAGGATGTTCGGCAGCTTCTCTGTAGCAATATTTCTTTTGCCACACCTACCACCCCGGTGAGTTTTCTATCATAACATGCCAGGACGAAACAGTATTTAAAATTGAATATTTATCTGGTAAACGAGAAATACTAAAACCCATCTAGAAAAAAATTATCTCATATTTTCCTGATTCCTAATAAAGACCTGTTAGGTGACTGATACGTAGGCCTACCTGCACAAACAAGCACCTGACGCAACAAGCTCTTCAAACTTGCTGTATAAAGAGATAGTTAACTTATTTTAATTCACGGGATAAATCTAATTATATTTGCATGATATACACTTTTGGAAAGTAAAGAAAAAAGATTTCATGTCAGTAAATTGGGCACCTGAAGCCCCACCCCACCCCTACCCCCCAAATGCTGGATATTCATTATCCAGTCAGTAAGATAACAGACACAGAACAGAATATTTAGACATAAACAACAAATGTCATTTAAACGGTCGCTCACTTTGCGTATGTCTTATCACCGTTTCTGAGATTGGGTACACAATAAAAGTGGACACCAGCGTAAAGCAATAGATAACACCTGCTAATTGAAATTAACGTACGTTTGGTTTCAGTTTTTCGATTTGTCGAGTAATCGGCTCGAGAGCTACAAGTTATTACAACAGCAGTCTTATCGAAGGTCATTTTACAACTTTTTTGCCACATAAAATGGCAAAGTACGTCCGTCCCTTCCCAGCAGGCACACAACGTTGATTCAACGTTGAATCAACGTTGAATTTATGTTGAGACGTTGATAAACGTTGAATCAACGTTGATTCAACGACCATAATTCAACGTTGACATTTCAACGTTGATTCAACGTTGATTCAACGACAACAAATTCAACGTTGGCATTTCAACGTTGATTCAACGTTGATTCAACGACAACAAATTCAACGTTGGCATTTCAACGTTGATTCAACGTTGATTC